CACGACCTCCTGGCAAGTCTTCAAATTGAAGCCATAGCAGATTGGCTCACCGGCATTCGTATGCGATCGACAGCCCTCGAGGCCAGCAGGAAGCCTTGAAGAGGCTCTGGTCTTTCCTTTGCCTTTGCCTTTACCCTTCCGCGAGGGCACCCAATTATCCGAAGGGACGCCCGGAGGCGTGTACGGACCTGGCCTGGTATCCTTGCTTTGCGAAGCATTCCCAGCAGGCCTGGGCATCGGCTGCAAGATGTGCAGTACTTCAGGGGCCATCCATGTGCCCTCGAACACATCGTCCAATGGGCGGCCACTCGGAGTGGCCTGAACACCGGATCGAGTCTTCTCAGCTAAGAGCTGAAAGAGCTTTCTGTCCGCAAGCTGGAGTTGGCCGAAACTAGTCTGAACATGCGTCTGTGGAACCTGGTCGAGGCGGGCACACAGCAAACGATCAACCCACTTTGCATGAAGATTGAAGTCGAGCAAATTCCCCATCTCTAGGGCTATGCCCCTTCGCGTAAGGGCAAACTGCAACAGCAACTCTGTCGTTGTTTCTGCCTTTGCAGCTTCACCCTTCTCTGTCTTCAGCCTGCCTGAAGCGTCAACTGAAAGCACTGTCTCCCTCTTCGAAGAGCTGGTAGCCTCCTGTTCCTTGCTTGTCAATCGATCCCATTCAATGAAGTTGAGCCGGTTCTGCTCGTAAAGCGAGACGCATGCGTCTACCAGCGAATCTGAAGGTTCAAGCCGGTTGCGGATGTCTAGGCCTGGCAGCCGCTTCGCAATCTTAGTATGTCGCTCTGCCCTTTCGGGCACACTAAGGCGCCGTGGCGCAGTCTCATCAGTCTGTTCAACGAGTGCCTTCATCTCGGCAGTTGTAACCGAGAATGCCTCGTGATAAAGTCGTCTGAATGCTGACTTCTGGCCAAGGTCGGGCTCGACCGCAAGCGCGTCCTTCAAGGCACGAATGAGTTCGGCGTCATCCCCCGAACCTGGTGTGTATGAGCAGCAGAATGCCACTTTGGCGAGGGTCGTGATCCCTTGCGCCTTGAGCTTCGTGATATCGGCTTCAGCCAACCCGACCTTTAAGCAGCGAGCGGCAAAGACTGGTTCAGATTCCGAGAAAGACGACATGGCTACACTAGTGCCCTCACGACTACAAGGAGCAAAGCTCGAAGCTGCCTTGGTCCAGACACAAGTCAGCAAACCGAAGAACTTTTGCTCGACCCCTGCATTGACGAGTAGACTCGCTTCACCTGCAGGACACAACTCCGAGCAAGATAGACTTGCAGGGCACCTGAAAGGCTGGTGCAAGCTCGCCTTCTTTGCGGTGCTCTTCGCTATGACATAACTCGGTAGATTTACCCAAAATTTAGTCTGCCGCTCCGCGACTGTGACTTGCAAAAGAGCTCAGGCCTGCAATAGAGTCCTGAAGCATTGCTTGCACCTAGGATACAAAACTCTCGGCCTGGCGTCCAAGCCGTCATATGCACCCGTAACGGTGCGCCCACACTTGAAGGTTGTTCCACCTTCCTCTGCGAGCAGGTGCAAGACTCTAGAAAGAGAATGTCTGTAAAACTGAGGAGAGTCACCCAGCTTTGCCAAGTCGACCCTGCCGTTCCAGTTTCCTAGGACCTCGGCCTCAGCAGCCTCGTCGAGCCCTCGATCTGGATGCTCCTCATCTGCACTGTCCTCCGAGCTCGATGCCATGTCCCCGACGCCGCACTCGTCTTCCGGTGGTGCTGCAGGCACGGCAACATCGTCATCGCCCTGAAACTGGTCGCCCCTCGGAGCATCAGGCCTAAAGGATCGCCGGCGAACCCTGCAGAGCACAGCATCGAGGGACCTGAGAGGGGCAGCCTGGGAGTCGGCCTCGTAAAGCAGCTCCGTCCCAATGCCCGCGCGCGGGGATACGTGGTATCCCAAGATGCACCTGATGTCTCTAGGAACTCCAAACTTGCTGCACCAACTCAAAGTTGTCCTCTTGCACGAGTGGGTCCCTATAACATCTCCTCTGACATCGGGAACACCTAACAAACTCCTCAACCAGCTGTTTGCTTGATCACACGGGAGCGGGCGGTCGCTCCAGGCCCCTTGGCTTCGAGGGGCAGGGAGAAGAGGCTTACAATTCTCAGCAGTGATGTTCTCAGAGCGGAGAAGGTCGAACCAGACTCGCCCCCAGCCCGAGCCAAGGATTCCCTCAGCACTCGCAGTGACAGGAAGGAGTCGCGTCTTTCGCTCCAACGTCATGCTGGATTTAGAGCGCGCTACCTCTGCCTCAAGGTATTTGCCACATGAAGAAAGCCTCAGCTGTATGACCCTCTGTCCATCACTATATCTCGCCCTGCCGAAAGTCAAGAACAAGAAATATCCTGATGCAACACGGTCAGGCTTGCTTCGCTCTTCATCAAGAACAATCCTCTCAAGCCTTTCAACTTCGGCGACAAGAAGCGGCTCCCTCTGGCACAAGGGTCTCTTATCCATGTAGGCTTTGGCTGACAGGCCCACAACTCTTCCAGACACAAGCACTGCATCAGCCGATCCAAGCCCAACCACGAACTTGGCGAAACCCACTGAAGAGAGAAAGCTCCTGAAGGCCGTGGGAGCCGCTGTTGCTGCACTCATGACAAAGTAATGATGCACGACAGGCTCAGTGAGAGGCAAGGCAACGACACCGTGCTTAGTAGCCCACAAGGTGAACCTCAGAAAATGGTTGGCACGCGTATGCAAGGTGCTGGTCGCCTTGGTAGACATGCACTCAGCAATGCTCTGTGCAAGTGAGCCGGAACCGAAGCCCAAAGTCCTTGACTCGAAAAAGTTCCTAGCCACCATGAAGCACATG